TTCCGAATTTTCATTTTTAAAATTTTATATTTCTCATTCCTTTATTGTACGTAGGACTTATCGTATATTACAGTATAGTATGACATTTGTGTAGGAAATATGTCAATAATAAAAACACTAAGTCTAACTCCTGCAAATGATCGGTTTTCAATTATCGTCTTGACGACACACTCGCGTCGATGATATGGCTAGTGCACATGACTAATTAAAATCTACATTTACTCTCGGTTTACACCTTTTCGTCTTGGAGTACACATTTCGATATATATTCAGCGTCGTGGAGAGACGAAGTCGAGGGGACGAAGCGCGCGCAGGAAATGGAACTATTGCGAACGCGTAACACTATGATCGGTTTTCAATCGTCGGTTGCCATCGCCGAAAACGGGTTGGAAACGAGGTCTGCTTGTCCTGCGCGCGCGCGCGCGCGCGCGCGCTTACTCGCTCACTCACTCGAAGGCGCCCTCGCTATTAGCGTTGCCGAAAACATCAGCCCCAAGCGCCTCGAGCGAGTGAACGAGCGAGCGAACGCGAATGAACGAACGAGCGAGCGCCGCTGTGGCGTGCCGTGCCGCATCTTGCGAACGCCTTCTCTCTACACTGATGCTCGCAGTTCGGCGCCTCGATTCTCGCGTTTCCGCCTCGTTTCATTTTCGCGGTCCGGTTCTCGGTCTCCGGCGGCGTAAGCTCCACGCTCGCGTATCGTTGTTGTCGCGCTCCTGCCCGAAATCGAAGTCGAGGCGGCCGGAGTAGTCCGGATTTCGCGTCAGCTAGCCAGCGGACGCGCTATCGGCACTGCGCAGGTTAAGCCGGCGCATTTCAAGGTAACCTAAAAAGTCGCGAAGCGGCGGCGGCGGTGGCGGTGGCGGTGGCGGCGAGTGACTCGCAACCACGCCGCTTGACCGTGCGACGCTTCCTTTGTGACTCCGTGTGTTCGAGCTCGAGTGTTGCATTTAAATCGCGATCGCGGTCGCGCTCGCTCGTGTAGTCGCGAGGCGCCGCGGAGATTCCGCGGATGTGCGAAATAACGCTTTGCCTCCTCCCGACGAGCGCTATGGCCGAGTTGGATCTATTTCCACGCGGGTGATATCGCCGCCAATGTTTGTCCGCGGGGTAGCGTCCGTTCTTGTGACTTTTATCTGCTTCTCTCCGGAGGGAAAAAATTATAATCGCGGATGTGACGAAACAATATAATATAATGTTTTTAAACTAATACATATGTGCCGACCGAATCACTTGCTATTACGTGAAGTATTATGTATGCAATCGAGATCTGTGTCAATATGAGATGCAAAAATGATATTAGTAAAACAGGTCTGATAGATTATTGGTATGTTATACATTGTGAATTGCGATATATTGACTTGATATGTGTACCCTTTATTAAGATATATCGTATTGTTCGCAAAAAAGCAAATTACTAATTAAAATAGATAATTATGTTAAGAATTAATTATGTTAAGAAAGAACTAATGATTGTTAATACGAATATTATAAGTTTATAACTGTATAGATACATAGATGTATATAGCTAAGAAAATACCAATAAATTACAGAATAAGAAACTAACGCAAAAAATAGATAAAGAAAAAAGAAAAACTTAATAAGTAAAAAATATATTTAAAATACTAATATGTTAGAGATGAAAAGAGGATAAAGAGATTGCAGGAAAAAATGAATTGCTTATTTGATCTTTGAATTACTTGCTTATGCATTATGCTAATAAATTGTGACAGATTTATTATACTTACAACTTTATAATAAACATATACATGAGATATAATTGAGATATATAATTGATAATGGAAGAAATATTTTATCTAGTATAAATTATATCAGTTTTCTTGTTTAATTAATACTTGTTTTTTTTTTTTTTTTT